AGGGAAAGAAAATCTGAGGGATATGAGTGGTTAGGAACACAAGAGTGGGATGTTTGTGGTGGGGACCGTGTAGTTTGGACCAAACAATGGGAAGCCTTCAAAAGATTTTTAGTATCTTCAACTCAGATCTTCCTATCCACATTGTATCTTTTGCTCAACATAAATACTGTCTTATTTGTGCATGTAATGAATTTGGAATCAAGAATTAGAATGGAACATTCTCTTTGGTAAGACATTTTTCAAAAATTTGTATTTTATTATTAAATGTGTTTTATGTGAGGTTTTTAAAAAAAAAAATAAAATAAAAGATAAGTTATCTCATTAGTAAAATTCACATGAAAAAGAAAGTCGGACAAAATATGTTAAAGGTTGTATTCTCAGAATTTTTTATTTTCAACGATCCATATATTATCAAGTATTATCATTATTATTAATATTATTTTCTTTAGCCTTAAAAAAAAGTATTGTCATTATTTGTTGTGAAGCAGCTGTCCATGAAAACAAAAATACAAATTTTTATTTAAACATATTTTGAAAACAAAAATGCGGTGACGTGGCTTCAATTAGCAACGTTCAGATCTCAAAACTGTGACTGTGACGCTCCCACAAGTCACAACCGACAAACCTGTTAATAATTTATCTCTCATAAATAAATCTTTTTGATAAATAAATCCTTTTATTTTTTGCTGAAATAATAAATAAATCTTAAACTACTAAATATTTGTATTTTTTTTTCAAAAAAATTTCAGATTTTGTAAAGCATTGCATCGTATATTTTTAAAGAAACTTCGGTTATTCATTGTTTCTAGTCACTCAGATAAATGTTGAAAACAATCTATACTAATAGTAATAGGTAAAGAAAATAGTTATTTTTATGATCCTTTTTTTGTCTCCATAATTGTGGGCGATGATACTCCTATATTTTAAGAAAAAAATATTTTTAGTAATTATCATTAACTAATTATAAATAATCACTTACATTATTATATTTTTTATTTATTTTATTTTTAAAAATATTTAGAGGCACTTCATGCCTCTTTTTCATAGTTAAATATAAAATAAATTCCTACTTGTAATTAATCAGAAGTTATAATTTTAAAATAGCTCAACACAGATATTTGAACAATCATAAATTAACCATGTCTGCTTGCGAAATTTTTATTAGCATGTCATATTTTTATTTTTTAAGCATCAGAATACCACACTTAAGATTTTATTAATCAAAATGTCACACTTTTTTTATTAATAGTAAGAAGTTGGGTTGGTTCATTTAAGAGTTCTTCTTTCAAAATTTCTCTTAACTACACCAATTTGATAGTAAACTATTTTCGCACTCATTAAAAAATCACACCTAAAAATCTTTCAAAAAAACTCTTAATTTAGATAACTAGATTCAGCTCTTTTATCTACCCTAAGTCTTAGTTGGAGTGCCACATCTTTTAATGTGATAGTTGCATTTACCACATGATAAATGAAAATGTGACATTTTGATGAATAAAATTTTAAGTTTGACATCCTGATGCTTAAGAAACAAAACTGTGACAGGTTGACAAAAATTTCCCTGCTCGCAGTTTTGTTGGGCAGAGATATCCACACATGTCATGTTTGTTTTTTTTCAGCAAAATTTTAATCTTTAACTAAGAAAAAAGGAGTGAGAAGATTTAAACAATTAAAAAAAAAGTATACATTTTGATAGTAAAAAAAAAATTATGCGAGAAAATCTAAATGGAAATCTCACATTCTACTCTTTATATCCATCGACACACTTTGAAGGGAGATGTCTGCGTTGATTGTAATGTTGAGTGTTTGGGTTCAATTTGGCTATAACAACCAAATTTTCCTTTCTCTTACTCTTAATTTGAAGTACCTATTGCTATGACAGTTTTCTCTTTTAAAAAAAAAAAAACTAAAAAATAGCAACAAATTTTACATGCCAAGGGAAATGATTTTAAAGTATATCTCAATACCCGTATGCTTATATATAAGTTTAGAAATATTTTTTATCTTATATTTAAACAAACTCTATTGTAATAATGTAATACTAATCTTAGTTTAGTTACTGGCCGAGAATAATCGATTGGAATAAGAAAAGAGGATGAGTCCCTTTTGACTTCTTGACATGTTATTAATAAAATGACATTTTTATCACTAAAATTATTATCACCATAGTAAGATTCATCTAGTTCAATTTATCTCCAAAATCGGACATGATTCTCTTTATATTTTCTTTCCTCAAAAGATACACTACTTGTTTAATCTCACCACTTGCTTGCCCTTGTTACGTGCTCCATATAAAAATCAACCAATTTTAAGTAATCAAATCATCAATCATTTCAATTTCCTTTCATAACCAAAACTCATCATCAAAAAGGGAATTTCATAAACCAAGGCTTACTTCAAGAAATTTAAACATTCATTCATTTTAAATTTTTAATCTGTAATTTTTCCTTTCTTTGGATTTTATTTTTTGTTTTACTTCTCCTTCTTTGTTTTTTTACTTCTTTTTATTTTTGATATTTTTGGTCAAAGCATGAAATTAATATAACACAGGTTTCCATTTAATTCAGGGATATAGAAGTTTTACACATGCAATAACAATCTCTCTAGCTGCTGAGAGAGAGATCGACCAATATTATAATATCTGTTAAGAAAGATCTGTATATTTAGATTATGTTTAGATTCACATAAATTTTGGTTCAATGTGAGTCACTGGGAATAACAACTATTTACTTTTGCATCAATTTTTATGTGATTTCTTTCGTGAATACAGAACTAAACATGCACTTAGTGATAGACTGAATTTCAAAAAAAAAATTATCTCTAAAGAAGAATAATGGGAAACCAAAAAAATAAAATATCTCATTGACATTGAAATGAAAGAATAGATTATGTAATGATCAAGATGTACTCAAACCAGAAAGGACTGTACACTAGAAGTATGACAACTATACTATATATATAACAGCAATAACCCTATCCATGAGATCATTTTAACAATTCCCTCCAAAGTTCTCTGTACATTAGAAGAACGAATAAGGAAAATTACATGCACTATAAAAAAAGAAAAGAATTTACTCCTGCCCTTTCATTCATACCCTGCTAGACTTTGTACATGCGCAGCAAACACTGAGCACTGCCACTCCTTTCTGTGTACACTAACTTATATGAGCTATATCAATTGATCCATCAGGATATTTGAATGTGTCAGCTGCACCAAACTTGCGCCGTTCTTCCGAATCTTCTGGTGGTTCTTCATCACTGCTATCATCTTCTTCATGATCAACGGTAGGTGAGGAGGGATCATGAATACTTTTGGAACGGCACAATGGGGTGGCAAGCATGCTAACTTGACCATGGTGTGATATCTCAACAACAACTGTGTCATCATCTTTTGGGAGGGGTTGTTTCCATGGCTCTCCATCAATTCTCATGAATGTGCAGTCAGCTGCACCCTTGTGAAACTCAAAACGGATTCTGTTTGCCTGCATGATAATGGCGGCATGGAAACATAAGATTATTGATCCATAGAGAGATTATGATGACAACAGTGAGAATTGAATCTAAACTCTCGTGCATCTACCTCAACTTCCTACATAGTGATTCTGGAAACATATATAGTATGAGCTAAAAGAAAGTAGAGAAAGAGGGATTGAAATGATGTCTTGTTTCTTGAACGAAACTTGATAATTGGGCAGATTCAAAACAATTTTCTCTATTTTTTTTTAAAGTATCTGTTTGGATTGAAAAATAATTTTCTATTTTTATTGTTGATTACAAAAATATCACCTTGTCTTCACTTTATTTTCTATATTTAAAAATTTGTATGGGAAACAACATTTTAGTAATTGTTTGGTTTAGAAAATATTTTCTATTTTTCATTTTTAATTATAAAAACGTCACCTTATAAAACAAGTTTTTAAACAAGTTTTTGTTCTTAAAAAATCAAAAACAATATTCTAAAACAAGAAACGAACAAGCCCTAAAAAATTGTTTTCAGTATCTTGTAGTTGTATACCAATGAAAAATTAATAACTGCCGGTATGATCACAATTCCCATATTTCCTACCTGTGCCAAACGAGTCCCGTGTCCATTTGGTGCAAGCAAAACAAGACCATGCCAAGCATCTCTAAAACCAACTACCTCAAATAGGCCATCATCCACATAGGGAAGAGTCAGGTCCCTCTGAAAGGCAAAATTTACAGAATATCAAATCAGAATCCCCGTACATAATAAATATGCCTAAGTTCACAACAAATATGCTCCCTAAAAGATTCATGGAAGTTGCAACATAGGCAAAAGAGAGATGAAATTAGGCACTTACATAAATTGATTTCTTCCTATTTGGCGTTCCCCAAGGATTAAGTCCACCAGAAAAACTGGGCAAGTTAAGGCAAACTATTGACCGAATACTGTATATGAAAATCAAAAGTTTGAGTCAGTGTGGGGATTCGTAAAATTATACCAAGGTCCTATTTACTTTCTTCTTTTGCATCATACCAACATCAAATGCAAGATGTTTCAAAAAAAAATAAAATATACAGAGATAATCCATAATTCCATATTTTAAAGTGTCACCTGCGAGGTATGTGGAGATCTTCCCAATGACCTTTTTTCATTATCTTAACCTTTGCCAGCTGAGCAATATTCCTGTTCAAAATTTTAGCATTCTGAATTAGACTACCACAATACAAGGCAAAATTGTAAACTCACCACCATATGTTTCAAGAAAAAAATAAAAAATAAAAGACAGATACAAAGACAAAAAAAAACAGAAATATCCCAATACAAACTAGTATTTCTTGTTTACAACTTCAAACTGACTTCACAAGCAATT